ACACACACACACACACACACACACACACACACACACACACACACACACACATACACGCACGCACGCACGCACACACACATACAGAAACACGAACATCAGACTCATCAAAGTACCCTTGCTCACACGCGCTGATGCAGAACCCACTCACCACTTCTCAGTCTAACCACACTTCAGCTCAGTAAGTGCTTTCCCAAATCTCCTACACCCCACGTGTGCCTCTCGCCTCGTGTTGCGGACTAATGTAGGCTAGCCCACTCTCCTAACAAGTAGTTTCAATGACTTCGATGTTGCCATCCATCATAACCGGACATGGCTTCGGAAACGAACGCTTTGTCGCCATCCTTAGCCGTTCCCCTCTATGGATGTAGCGTGTGAACACTTAGGCGTTTATATAGTGCTATCTTGTACCATAGGGTGTTCACTTTCGTCTGTCCTCGTTTAAAACAAATAAATAAAAACAAATCTCTCAGTTAAATCTTCTCAGATTTTTGTATGCATGTCTAAAAGCTGGATGACCAACAGAATCTAAGAGGCTATTTAGAGAGGTCACTGCAAACTAAGGTTCCGACACGTTTTCTTTGATGTTACCCTCAAGCGGGTAAAACATGACTTTGGATTTACAGCATACACCTAAAACATAACGTTGACCTATTTTCATCAACACCACACTTACACTTACACGAATGACACATGGTCCAACAGAGAGGTGAGAGCTTTTTGAAACTCACGTGTCCCCATTTCTGTCTGTTGGAAGATTATACCTGACAGGCAGCTTTGGAAGCGGTCCGCCTTTTAAATAATTTAAATTGTTTCGATAAGGGTGTTAATAAACACACTGAAGACCCGAAGGGGGGGGGGGTTATTGAGTACCTCGGTCTTTCTGCTGTGATATTGATCCCCTCTCATCCCCGGTTGGCCTTTACAGGCAGGGTTGGAAGCCCGCCTCCTAAATTATCTAAATTGTATCTCTGGCGTAGAAAACACCTACATAAAAAAGTAAAGTGCGTTCCAGTGTTTCCGGGCGCGGAAACTAATTTGAGAGTTATATAATATATGCCCCTGAATTGAAGCTACTGACCCAGACTATACAAATACGTATGAAATTAAATTTAGCTGCTTAGAATTAATTTTAGCTTTGGGGAAAAATCAGGTAAGAATGGTTGCCACCGATATGCAGATTATGAAAAATCAAAATGGTATTTCATTTTTTGTTTGCTGGGGAGAGAGAGAGAGAGAGAGA